ACACGACCTCCTTGAATGTATGCCGTGCCGCCATGAACACGACTAGCTAACCCGTCCTCTCCACCATCTGAACCGCTCTGCACCGCATGTGCCAGTGAGTGCTGCGGATGGGTGTGCTGCAAAAGCAGTGGCAGCGGATGGGCTTGTTGTACGGTGTGAGACGCCTCGCCAGCTGTCACAGCTTCATCGATTGGATGGCGGTCGACAGGCTGATGTGGCATGGCATGATGCACGGGGGAATGCACGGCGTGGATGTGTGGAATCGTGTGGTACGCCTCGCCTGCTGTCACATGAATGCCATGGTCTCGCGCACTGCTGCTGCTGCTGCTGCTGCTGCTGTTGCGATGGCCCACGGCATGGCCCATAGCATGGTGCACGGGGAGATGAACGGGGGGTTGCACAGGGGACTGCACGGCGTGGACGCGCTGTGTATCGCTTGAAGGGAGGCACAGGGGCAGCAGCTGAGAGGGCGGTTGAGAGGGCGGTTGAGAGGGAGGAGGCTGAAGCGGCAGCTGGGAAGAGGCATGGTGCACGGGGGAGTGCACGGCGTGCAGGTGCTGTATTGTGTGGTATGCCTCGCCTGCTGTCACCGCAGAGTGGCGTGTGGAGCCTTCGGGCACAGGAATGTCCAGGATGATTGGCCACCACCAGTACAGTGGGTACCTGGTGATTGGTAGCAATGGGGAAGGAGTGGGGAAGGAGTTGGGAAGGAGGAGTTGGGAAGGAGGAGTTGGGAAGGAGTTGGGAAGGAGTTGGGAAAGAAGAAGAGCGAGAACAGGGTGTGTGGATGGACGGAGGGAAAGGTACTGGGACAGAAGAAGATCAGGAGCGAGAAAAAAGGACTTGGCAGCAAGGCTGAAAATACAAAAGAAGGGGGTACCGGAGATATGGGATAACCAAGGGACGGGGAGGGGAAACGAGAGGAAAAAGGAGGAAATAAATGCAAGGCATGTGGTGGCTTACTGTCTGGCAATATTGTTGACGAAGAGAGCGACAGCGAGCATGATACACACTCCCAGCAGCACGGGGGTGAGAACAAAGAGGCTGTAGCAGCGTAGCGAGGGAGGGAGAGCGCTGCGTGCATCTGATATAGGAACATCTCCATGCAATGACTTACTGTCTGGCGATGTTGTTGACGAAGAGAGCGACAGCGAGCATGATGCACACTCCCAGCAGCACGGGAGTGAGAACAAAGAGACCATGGCAGCGGAGGGAGGGAGGTGACATGACAGCGATGAGAGCTGAGGCACCCCCAGGCGGATGGACAATACGCAGCAGCTGCATGGCTGGGAGGCGGGGGAGGGGGAGGGTAAGGGGGGAAAGGGGGATGGGAGAGAATGAGGGAGATCAGGAATTTAGCTAGCTGAACAGATAGCAAAGATTTATCAGGCGTCTCAGAAGTTCAAAACGTGAAAGTTATGCAGCGAGTGAAAAAACAGATAGTGAAAAAACAGACAGTGAAAAAACAGATAGTGAAAAAACAGACAGTGAAAAAACAGATAGTGAAAAAACAGATAGTGAGAAAACAGATAGTGAGAAAGCAGATAGTGAATAACCAGATAATGAAAAACATATAGTGAAAAACAAACCAAGGACGTACCCACTATGGATAAGGAAACCGCAAGCCCGCACTGTAGCCACAGCCAGGACGTATTGGGAAACGCGAGCCCGACTATAGCGAAGATCTCTGCTATAAGCGCGCCAATGAGAGCAGAGACGGCACTGCCGAGAACCACATTGCGGGGCTGTGAGAGGGGCGAGTCGATGGTTCCAAAGATGAGCACCGCTGTGGCGCCAAACGAGCCGATCATAAACGACGCCACCGCCTCCTGCTGCTGCTGGCCGCTTTCAGCTGTGCTGGTGGTGGTGGTGGTGGTGCTGCTGCTGCTGCTGCTGCTGGTCGGGTAGGGACTCAGGGTCTGCTGCATGCTCGTGTTGAACGCGAGAAACGCACAGAGGGATATACCTGCGGGAAGGGGGAGGGGGGAAGAGGGGAGGAGGGGGAGGAAGGAGGGAGGGGAAGAAGAGGCGAGTCAATGGTTCTGAAGATGAGCGCCGCTGTGGCGCCAAACGAGCCGATCATAAACGACGCCACCGCCTCCTGCTGCTGCTGCTGCTGCTGGACGCTTTCGCTCGTGGTGGTGGTGGTGGTAGTGGTTGTGCTGGTAGTGGTGTGGGGGCTCAGAGTCTGCTGCATGCTCGTGGGTATTGAGGAAGGGAGGGAGGCGGGAGCGGGACGATGGGGGTAGGTAAAAGAGAAGGTGGGAGGAAAAATGGGAAAAGGGAGCTTTGAAAGTGGGATAAGCAATTACCTCCTGTCATTATGGGAAGGATGCATGCATCTAGGCTGGTCCGAAGACAAAAGGGCGAATTAAAAAGCGACATCTAATTTGAAATGAGTGAAAGAGCGAGACATTGAAAGCTGAAAGGGGAAAGCGGCGCGCACCAATGAACGACGCGATGAAGGACCAGAAGACGACAATAAAGCTCGGGTACGCCGGAAAAAGCCCCTCCCCGATTCCGCGGAACTTCCGAAAGTACACCCGAAGCCTCCTTGACGGAAGCAGAAACGCACCCGCCTGCCAGCTTCGCGGCAGGCGCACGCGCACCCCATTTCCCTTGCCCTTTCCGCCGGAGCCTTTGGGTCCATTCTCATCATTCCGCGGGGAGCTTTTCGGGGGAAGCTCGCAGCCTTGACGAAACGGGGGCTGGTCTGGCGAAGTTGGTAACCCGTTTCCATATACCCGGCCGCAAAGCTCCGCCAATTCACCAGAGCCATCGTGTAGCCCGCACGGGGACGACTCAACACCGTTGACGGGGAGTCTTATATCGAGAACAGCCTCAGTACCATCACATTGGCCCGGCGTGGGAGATTCTACTCCGATAACGTCAGCAGCAGACGTGTCCGGCCGGTGACGGCCCGTCAGACTCGAAGGCTCTATCCCAGAGCTCCTATCAGTAGTCCCCAGTCCTAGTCCTACCAGGCTAGTATTTGGAGTTAAGGATGGATTCGAACTCATGGCGGAAGCGAGCGGTTGCTCGCCGGAATTGCGAAAACCTCTTGCAGAAAACAAATGGGAGGAGTAGGCGGAGTCAAAAGAACCGCGGGACGAGTTCCTCCTTGTCGACGGAGGGGAGACGACGAGGATTGGTCTAGACCCGTAATGACACGATAGGAGTCGCTCGAGGCAGGAGGATTGCTCCCAGGCCGACTCCTAAAACGACTCCTCCTTGGTTGAACGATGAAGGGGCAAAGTGAGGCCCAGGAGGATCGGTCTGGACTCGTGAGACCCTGATAGGAGCCGCTGAATCGGTCGTTAAGTCCAGGCTGGAAGCAAAGGCTTCTCCTAAAACGACTCCTCGGAGCCTAGTTGGCTGTTGAACATTCTCGAAAACCGACGACTCGGGCACACCAGGTTGAACGGGTCGGTGCTAAACGGCGAGTGAGCCTGGCACTGAGATACACCCTCAACAGGTGGCTTGTGGGAATGCCAAGGGCCGGCGTTCTGTCAGGGGTGACGGGGACACGAAAGTGACCGCGATTCGCGACAGTGTGTCAGTGGTTCAGAGAGCAGTGACGGCAGGGGTGATGCAGGCGCAATCAATTTCTAGGAATGATACAGTGCGAAGCTGCCTCCAGAAGTTTCTGCGCAAAACGCTGCTAAACACTCGGGTTCTCCGACGCTCTCTGTAAGACAAATAAGGACCTTGTAAGGCAGGGACTGAGATGGTTTCCGTCGTGTGTGTTCTGGTGATCAGAACGGAGTGAAGCGTAGGCTGCGGAGCCAGCGAGGAGCCTTTCAGCCGACGCCGACGAGGGTGAGATTGGGATAAGCAGCAGCAACGGCCGCTGTGGAAACGTCGCATGCGGAAGTTGTTGAACTCGCGAGCGCGATACGACAACATCGAGAGACAGCCATGGAGAGCGAGGGCACTGGAGTGAAACTGAGATGAGTGCAAGATGAGAGGAGGAATAGGGTTGGGGTTCCCCTTGTCGCCAGCATGCCCATTCCGTAATGTTTACGGAAATTGCTTCATGTTTGAAGTTCTTTTGCTTGATAACGTGATTTTTCTCATTCTCAAGCTAATAACTGGGTAAGTAACTTTCACTGAGCGTTTATTGTAAGTGAAATAGCTTTCCTTGAATAGCATGCTTGTTTGTGAGACTTCACAGCCATATCTGGGCAGAACATGGAACTTATGGGCAGGGATGACAGTACCGCCTGATGGTTTTCGGATTGCCGAAAGGCCAACCGACCGGCCCAAGATCAATGTGTCTCTCCCATGGCATGAGGAGACGTAAAAAAATATCGGGGCTCATGACGAATGAACACAAATTGTGTTGTGACTTCTCGTTGTTGCCCGAGCCAAACCGCTCAGCCTTTTGGCTCTTCATAACTGAAACAGACACGCTGTCAATCACGCGTCGAAATTGCGGTGGAATCGGGTACTGTAATCGATAACCTACACGTACAGCTATCAAGTTCGGCAGTGTTTCCATCTTCTCCTTTTGGTAGCGTCGAAGAATCGAAGGTTTCTGTAACGCGTTCTGTATTCCACGTGGTCGTTCCTCGACAACCAATCAACACTCAAGGATCCACGTAGTGGATGAGGCGGAGCACAGGCCACCGCTGACCACATGTGTGATTCAATCGGAAGTTCCGAATCTGGTCTAGGGTGTTGAATTGACCCACTCAGGTATCCATTGTACATTTACTATACTGTTAATAAAGAGGTCTAGGAGGCTATGTGGTGCAATGCAACTTAGGTACTGAAGAGGACAGACAGCCCCTAACTCAGCCTGACCTAAAATCTCCCGTGTACTTTTATCAATCCATAATTGAAAAGGCAGCAGGGTCACAGCTGCCGATAGCGGGGCCGGCTCGTCCAGTATCGAACCATTATTAAATTGCTGCGTTCTTCCTCTTGGTTGTCGAAATACGCTGCGGATTTGTCACTCAGTGTGTCAATTCATTGATTGCCTTTCCGGCGTCGTACCCATGGCTCTATCTATAATGGCCACGGTCTCGTTTACTGGCTCATTGGGCCAGTCACAAGCAACCAATGGGCAGCTTTCATCCGGAAACAGCTTGTTAGTTTCACAGCCGCTCGTGATAACTTATCCGTGCTCACGAGACGAATCCGCAAGCCGGCGCTCAGTCGCGGTGAAGGCGCTCTTCGGCTGGGGCAAGCCCAAGGTTCGTAATGACCGCTCGTTCTGCGTGTATTACCTGAATGTGGGCGTGAGACCGTCCGTACTAAGGAAGTTTGTCCTGAGACGTTGATTGAAAATCCGGCTGGTGGATTTCATGCACTTTAGATTCCATGTGCTCGACGCTCTGCATGAGCCAGAGGACGACTTTTGAGGCGCCTCAAAATTCATCCCATGCATTTTAGATTCCATGTGCTCGACGCTCTGCATGAGCCAGGGTCCCTCATTTCTCTTTCCATCGGTTTCCGTTGACATTCTCATGATTCTGAACATTCTTCCATGTGCATTCTCCCAAACCTCGTGTATTCCCGAAAATTCAATTCATACATTTCGTTATCAACCTGAATTCGGCGATTCTGTAAGCTGCATTCTGCCGCACCTGACTCTTCGAGATCATCATCATCTTTGCCTCCTCCCGTCCCTACCTGTCGTTTGCAGGCCGACACGCCGTCCAAGTCCCCCTCGAAAAAGTCACCTCCGGCTAAGGGAAAGGTTTCGAGAGCCTCGTGCAGCACGTGCAGAGGCACAGGAGGCGTGGATTGTCCCATTTGCAAGGTATTGCATCTCTTGAGGCGCCTCAAGGTATTGCATCTCTTGAGGCGCCTCAAGGTATTGCATCTCTGTTTCTGCCTGAGATGAAATACGCTTGCCTTTTTCCAACATGCCGTGCCCCGTATGAATGCTTCAGATGTCTCCGCTCCAGTATCGCTTGTCCTGTAAATTGTACAACAATTTACCCGTTTGGTGTTTACGTGATTTACAGGGGACGGGGAAGAGCAAGACCAAGGGCAACATGCTGGAGAGATGGAAGTAAGTCAGCTTAGCATAGCATACGCGTTTAGAGACGTCTCAATACTTGTTAGGATTGCATATGCGCTGGAGAGATGGAAGTGAGCCAGAATTACATATGCGCTGTGATCGCCTATCCTTTCCCCCATTTTCCCTGGCTGTCCCCTTCCTCTTGCCCCAACAACCTTCCCTCCTCCCTCCTTTTCACCCAGTTCCCTCAGACCCTCTTCCCCCACACCCTCTTGCCCCGTACACTCCCCTCTTCCCTCTACCTCCTATTTCCTTCCCCCGTTGCCACGTGTCTATGATATGGTAAACTGATTTGTTTATAATCAGATGTTTCCACTCCTCAACGCTGATGTGTCACCGCTTCTCACCACCATCTCTCTGTCTATGCACATGGCTTGCTGCAGGTGCTACAAGTGCCAGGGGTTCGGCCTGGTTGGCTGCCCTACCTGCGGGTCAGGAGGCCTCACCCCGGAGCAACGGGGAGAACGATAGGCTTGAAGGCATGACCAATGGCTGTTGTTGTTTTACCGTCTCGTTAAAGTGCAATGGTGGCCAAGCGGGTTCGGTCTGGTTGGCTGCCCCAATTGCGGGTTACGAGGGCTCATCCTGGAGCAAGTGCCAGGGTTCCAGCTTGGTTGCCTGCTACAATTACGGGTCGGTAAGGCTCACTTTTTAGCACCAAAAGTGAAGCTGGGACTTCAGATGGTTGGGATACGATAGATGGCTTGTGGTATGTGAATGTGAGTTTCATTTCATGTTGTGACATTCTGTGAGGAGGGTACATTCCTGCAATGCAATACTGTATGGCCCCGGATAGTAGCGCACATGCGCTTATAATAAAATCATTTTTTTTAGGGGTGGCGCTAGTAATTGAGGAACGGCCATAAGCGCCGGCGCTTTTATAACGGCAAAAATGATTTTCGAATTCAAATGAACCAAATTGAAGCTCTCAATAAGGCGAATACAATGATGTGACGTGCGCATGGGATCGTGCATGGAATCACGGCGAAACTTGCCGCGATTCGAATTCCCACCACACAAAACCTGTCTAGGAGCAACGCACCTGCCAGCGCTGACGCGTAACCTGTCGTGCGGCCCAATGAGGTCGTCATGCGCTGCCAGGCAGGAGCATCTCGACCGAACCCTCTAGAAAGGGGGTAGAAGATGCCCTGCCAGCGCAGCATGGATGGTTCCATGAACCCTCCTCTGCGGGTTCAGGCAGAGGGGCAACCCTCGTTCATTGACGAGGACCCCGAGGCGCCATGCCGAAGGGGTCCCCTTCATTCTTTCATTTCTTGCATCTTTCATCCAGTTTTTAATTCAGTTTCTCGTTCTTTCCCGCCAGGCTGCGGAAGCCATGGCGGAATTCACCGGCACCCATTTCTTGTTTAAGAAGAAGCCTTCTGCTAGGCCCGCGTTTAGAGTTGACGCTGACGGGTGGTATTCCCGTATCCCACCAGAGCCACCACAACCTCCTGCGCCTCCTGCGCCGCCTGCTCCTCCTGCGCCTCCTGCGCCTCCTGCTCCTCCTGCTCCTCCCGTTCCTCCGTCTCCTGCATATCCCGTGCATCCTGTGTTCACGGGCAATCAGCCCGTGCTCACGCTCCTTCTCCCTTCGGCGTTCGATGAGTACCTCTCTGAACCGGACTACGACAAGCGCCAAGATGAGTATGTAGCAGCTCCGGCCCCGGCACCACGATGGGGACAGCCCGATGACTGCTACTGGGATGAATCTGCTGTCGGCGCAGACGACGAGGTGGCTGACGCCGAAGAGGAGTGGCACGCTGAGCGCAACACCGGCGACGAGGGTGGCACGGAGGGTGGCACCGAGGCCGGCACCGCTGAGGATGTGTTTCCCGAGGGTGCTCCGGGCGGCGACGATGACGACGGCGTCGAGTATTGGTCACGCGACGGGCTTCCAGAGAAGCTCCCGATACCCTCTTTTCCTCCGCTTAATCGCAAGCGACCACACCCTGCTTCACAGAACCGTGATGCCTGCCCCCCCTCTCCCAGGCACAAGATGAACGAGCACAAGCGACAGGCCTACACCGCCGCCGAGAAGTTGAAGTGGGTCGCGCTGCTTGATGTTGCAGTCTCGGTGCGCTCGTTGGCTCGCGAGAGCGGCATCCATCGCAAATGTCTCTCTAACTGGAAGCGCTCTGCGGACTTCCTCAAAGAGGTACACTCTGCCCGTAAGCGCATGCATGGTCGAGGGCGAGCGTCGTGGTACCGGCCGATGGAGCTGAAGGTCTACGAGAGGCTCCTCGAGTGGCGTCGCAAAGGAACCGCTGTATCCGTCGGCCGCCTGCAGGAATGGTCTCGTGAATTCATGAAGGAACTCTTCCCAACCGAGAAGTGGAAGGGGAGCCAACGGTGGTCTGAGCGCTTTCGGCGCCGATGGAATCTCAGCGTGCGCATGAAGACGCGGGTGGCACAGAAAACCGCGGCCCGTAAGATGTCGTGTATTTTTAAGATTTTTTGTACTGCGCCGTTTATTGTTACTAACACGTTCATGTTGTGTCGCCCCATGGTCTGCCTTGTCACAGATGTCGCGGAGCAGTGCAGGAACTTCTGGCGCTTTGTTCGTGAAAAGCGCCGTGAGCGCGGCATCGACATCGCGTGGATCATCAACGCGGACCAGACGCCGCTCTGGCTGGAGATGCCCGCGACCACCACCGTGGACCAAACCGGCGTTCGGTCGGTGCCGATCAGAAGTGCGGGGTACCAGAAGGAGAGAGTTACCGTGATGCTCGCGTGCACGGCGGACGGGGTGAAGCTCAAGCCCTGGGTGTTTTTCAAGCGGAAGACCGTGCCGAAGGGCGATTTCCCGGCGGGTAAGTCATGGTTTATATTACTGTGTCGTGTTCTGTATCTTCTCTTTAATCGACTGACATCTTGTTCTTCTACGCCTGTGCAGATGTGGTCGTGGCGTGCCACGAGAACGGGTGGATGGACGCGGAGGGCGTCATCCGATGGCTTGAGGAGTGTGTCAAGCCTTTCTTGAAGCCTCGGTTCGGCAGGTGTGCGAAGAGCTCCATGCTGGTGCTGGACAGCTACCGTGGTCACCTCACCGAGGGGGTGAAGGAGAAGTTCCGCGAGCTCAACTGCGTGCCGGCGGTCATCCCGTCTAGGTGCACGGCGGAGGTGCAGCCCCTCGATGTCTCTATCAACAAAAGCTTCAAAGCTTCAATCCGCCAGCAGTATCAAAAGTGGTTTCAAGAAGAGGGGCAGGAGCAGCTGACAGCAGCAGGTACGTTGTAAGCTACGGTAGATGCATATGCTTGTTTATCCACTCCTCCTCCCCTTTGCAACGCTAACTCTGTCCGTGGTGTTATTGTCCGTGCAGGGAATCTCAAGAAGCCCCCCCCAGCAGTGGTCCTGCGATGGGTCTCTCGGGCATGGAAGGCCGTGCCCGCCGACCTCATCAAGCGCGCCTTCCTCACTTGTGGCATTAGCAACGCGCTTGACGGCAGCGAGGACGGCCTCGCGATGGCACACAGGCGGACCCAGCTGACCGCGGAAGTGGATGTCGACGACGACATCATCGCTGATGGCTTCTTTGGCAACAACTGCCAGGAGCCTGAGTCTGACGAGGAGGAGTAGGAACGGTAGTTGGTTCATTGGTGGGAAGGCTTGTATAAAGGTTTGTTCATTGAGTTAGAAGTATCGTAGATGGATGTAATTGTTGGTGCTAGACTTATAATGAAAATTTTTGTGATGTTAGTAGTTAGTTTCTTAAATTGAAAAAAACAAATGTATTAAAGTAGGCGCTTATAATAAGTACGGGTACAAAATGGTATGCGCTTATAATCGAGGAACGGCCATAAGCGCCATGCTCCAGATAGAGGCGCCGGCGCCTTTAATCGGACGGCGCCTATATCCGGGGCCATACGGTACATGACAGACTTCATGATGATTAATTGAACCAACTGGTGGTGGGTCAATCCCACGTCAGATCAAAGAGGAGAGGACCGATAAGATTGTGCAAAAACACACTGCACCTGACTACCAGAGTTGTGGGAAGAAATAGGAGTGCAAATTGTTGGGCTGAGGGTACATTCCGCTGTGGACCATGTCCCAATCGATGTGTCCCAATCACGATTTGGCCGAGTCGCGCTCAAATGTCTCGAGTTTGCATGTCCCAATCGATCGATGTATTGCGACTCTGTACAGACGCGCGACAATTATGTGCGAACGTTTGTGATTGGTCATAGAATAAACATGCCCACTCGTCCTTGCGCAGCACATACACCAACACCTCCAGGTCCGCGGTAGATCCTTGGTGATGTCCAGGGAGGCCGCGGAGGGTACAGTACTCCTCCGCAGTGCCAATAATTGCCTCAACGGCACATACATCTGCAAATCATCCTCTAGTACGTCAGTTTTTATAATCAAACATAGCACAGACACCATTACTACACACGCATAATCCACGCATGATGGCAGAGCCTAGAGCCATCCCCTTCATCCTACGCCTCCTCGTCGCCCGGGTCACCTACTACTACACCATTTTCTACGAAAATTTCGCGAAGTCCTTCGTAGGCCTCATAGAGTCCGGTGTGTTTGAGGACGCGGACGAGCAGTCCTCATCGTCCGGGGACGACACCGAGGAGAACCGCCGTCACAGAGCGAGTGTACGGCGGCGACGCCATGCTTTGTGGGTTGAAGACCTGCAACACATGCGGGAGAACGATTTCCAAGACATATTCAGGATCAACCGCGCCATACTTGAGCATGTAAAGTCTGTGATGCGACAATATCTAGAGCCCATCGTCCATCGGTCGATAATCACAATGGACACTGCTTTGCTCATCCCAATAAAGTACTTGGCGAGTGGGATTTCATTCGTCGACATGTCGTACCTGTTCGGTGTCTCCAAGACACTCTGCCACGAGCTTGTTGACGTGTTCCTCACCGAGTTCCCCTCTGTCTTCAAGGCCGCCTGGGTGCGCTTTCCCACACGCGATGAACTTCCCGAGATGGCGCGTGAATTCGCTGCCATCAAAGGTGTACCTGCAGTGGTGGGGGCTGTGGACGGGACTCACATCCACATGAAAGGGATGGAAGGGCACAGGGCGGAGTACTGGACAAGGAAGTTGGCCTACGCCGTTCAGCTCCAAATCACGTGTGATGCACGAGGCAGGATATGGGATTACCTCATCGGCTATCCCGGCAGCGCGCACGACATGCGGGTTTTCAAAGAGTCTGCACTACTTGAGAGGTTACACAACGGGGACATAGCCCCATACCAGATTGTTGGGGATGCGGCCTACCCGCTACGAGAATACTGCCTAACCCCCCTGCATGCACCGCGCGGAGAGGACCTAATGGACGATTGGGCCCAATGTTTCAACTACTGCCAGAGCGCCACACGCATGGCGGTGGAACGGTGCATCGGCGCCTTGAAAGGGAGATGGCGCATCTTCGGCGGGCGCAACGACTGCAGGTTGTGGCGCATTCTCGCAGGAGCCGCGTGTTGTGTGATCCTGCACAACTTGTGTGAAGAGATGGCAGTCGTTAGGCGCAAGAACATGGCCTGGTTCAATCTGCCCCGCAACCGCGACTCTTGGTGGACACGGGGTGCCATTGCGACACACAAGTGGGAACCCTGTGTTCCCCCAACACAACAGGCTCTGAGAGAGAGGCGGAAAAGACTGGGTGAGGCCCTGCAGGACTCTTACGCTAATCGTCGGCGCCGCGCACCCATATCTCCACATCCTCAGCACCCGGAGTGACGGTGTTGACGTCGCCAACATCGTCGCCATGCTGTGCGGCTTCGGGAGGTGGTGCGGACTCCCCGCGTGGCGGAGGAGGGCTGAAATCCGGCGGCGCACGGTGCACGTCCGGGGGCGCCGATTCAGTCATGCGCTCGCGGGCAAGTCGCATGTCCTGCGCCATCCATTCACGTACGAGGCTCTCAATGCGCGTCATCACGTCACCGTGACAATCCTTGATGATCGCGGAGACCAGCTTGGCTGCTTGCATGGTAGCCGTCTCATGCACCCGTGCGCGCCTAGGTGTTGCGGTGGTCGGCGGCGGCGGAGCTGTGATAGAGGAGCGGGGAAAATAGTAGTTTCGATTAGTCCGACTACCCTTGTTTGATGTAACCTGCATATTGGCGAATAAAATAAACGGATTCATCGTATTCAAACTACGATAAGTCAAACGCATATCAAGCTAGAGGTGATAGAAGCACGACTCACCCGTAAAGGTTGGTGTTGACGTGCCTGGCTGAGACGAACTTGGAACCTCCATGCCGGCCGGCACGTTGACGTCCGTGGCGCCGCCGCCGTCCACCGCATGCGGTGCGGCTGCGGCGGTGTCCTGGTTGTGCAGCTCCAGGTACGGATACCACGGTGGTTTCTCAACCGAGCCGTGGCCTGACCCCCCGTCGCCACGCTTGTACTCCCGCCAGAGGAGCGTCAAGTTACGCCACTGCTTCTGCAACGCGTTGACACCCCTGCACCATCCAGGGTTCGACTCCTTGATGTGCGCGAGTAGTCGGACCCAGTATTGCGTCCCCTGCTTCCCCTTGAGAGGCTCGAGCTCCTCTTTCATGAACCACTTTGCCGCGGCGAATATGGTGCTCTCCTTGTCCGACCATAAGCCCCTCTCGACTGGTGCAGCCGACCGCTTCTTCCGTGGCTCCTGGCGTGGTGGTGGTGGCGCCGCCTTGCCTTTGCCTTTGTTCGTCCCAGATGCGCGTGCGGCGCTCCGTTTCATAGTCACAGACACAGGTTGCGCTTCCTCCTCCGCGTCGTCCTCGGCGTCCTCATCTTCATCGTCGCCGTCGCTGGGCGACATCCCAGCGTCTTCCGGTTCCTCCTCGTCGTCGTCGGTGTCGAGGCCTTGTTCGGGGTCGTCATCATCGTCATCGTACGCATCTTGCTCCACGACAAGCCGGTGTGTTGCAGTCGTCCTTGCAGGCTGACGGGGCCGCACTGGGCGACTGTGCACTGGATCCCTGGCCGTCAAGCACGGGCGGCGCGGATAATCCCTTCGGATGGCGCCCGTTGGCGATCTGCTGGTTCATCCAGCGGATGTAAGGAATGTCGTCAAGATCCTTGGGGCAGTCGTTAAGGGCCTGCCCCTTACGCTTACGAGCCATGCTGGCGGATAGAGTGCTTCTAGATCTAGATCTTTAGGGAGCGGGAGCAGAGAGAAATGAACAGATTGGAACAGGAAGGATGGTGCACGAAGATGAACCCGTAAGGTGTTGGGAGGTGGAGGAGTTGTGGGGAAGGAGCATTGGAGCTGGGGGAAGGCGCGCTGGCGGGGACGTGCGCGTCCCTGTCAATAATTCCGGGTGTGTCGTCTGGACCAATCACTACGCAGTGTACGCGTTGATGGGGATAGTGGGTTTTGGGGAGATGTCGTCTAGATACATGCTGCATGTGTTGACATTTGGCACCGCGTGCGACTGATGGACTGTGTTGCAATTAGCTGGCGACTGCTCCGTGTTTCACGTCACCCAATGATAAATACATTTGGCGACAACCACGGGCGGCCCGGCATTCTGACACCTGGCAGCATATGCTGTACGTACGCGTCACAATCGATTGGGACACATCGATTGGGACAGTGTCCACAGCGGAATGTACCCTGAGATGAAGCCCTTAGGATCTTTTCAGGACTAAGGGTACATTCCGCGCTGGACATGTCCCAATCGAAAGTGTCCCAATCGTTTCTACCGCACTGCATCGTATTACACCAAATTGCACCCTCGTTTCGAAATTTTCGCGTCTCTGGTTTAGTTCGGTTCGGAGCGGTACACTCGAGTGGGACACATCGATTGGGACAGTGTCCACAAAGGAATGTACCCTAAGATCGGGTATTGATGTAGACTTGTAACAGCGGAAGTCTTTAATGAAGAGTTGACGTGAACCACCTTGTGCTAGTTTGTGAGCACAAGATCAGTTAATAATAACAAAGAGATACAAGCTTTTATATGATTACAAAGAATATGAAAAGTTCTATTTTAACTGTTTTTGCTGTTGCGGTTCGATACAGTGCCGACTCGGGTAACTGCTCTGTAATGAGTCAGTTATGTGTCCTTGCTGTCGCACAGTGCATTTCGTCAGGTCAAAGGTCGGGGACCTTTGAACTTCGCGTAACCTCCGACAGTTGACTCGCGTGTTTCTTCGCTGTAGTCAGTTCCGTTTTGTGTCGCAGCTTCGATACGACAGAGGCGCTATAAATCACTTGTTTCCAACACTCCCATTTGCTTCTGGAGTGTCGTTGCTGATGACGTGTCCTTGTCCAGTCAGCAGCATGCAATATTCGAACTTCGACTTTCCGAGCTTCTTGGTCAAGTAATCAGCTGCCATCTCGGATGTGGGACAGTAAGACAGCTCAAGTCTCCCCTTCTCGATCTCGTCCTTTACGAAGAAATATCGCAGGGCGATATGTTTCAACCTGTTCGCGAATCCATTTTTGTTGGCGATGCGAATTGCCGACTGGTTGTCGCAAAACAAGGAGAAGCTGGGTAACTGAGCCAGCTTTGCTTCCTCCAGAAGTTCGCGAAGGTATAGTCCTTCCTTGGTGGCTGAGCAGAGTGCAATGTATTCAGCTTCAGCTGAGGGGAGAGCGATTAGTTCCTGCTTGCTCGATTGCCAGGAAATAGGTCCGATAGTTTCAAGGCGATAGACGTAGCCGGTGCGTGAGCGTCTGTTGTCAGGATCGCCGGCGTGATCTGCGTCGACGTAACCGATTAGTTTAGGTACCGTAGTTCCGTTCTTGTGGTAAGTTAGACCGATGGTTGCGGTGCTGACGAGATAGTGGAGAGCACGGTCGAGTTCGGCCATGTGTTCTCCTTCAGGTTTCTTGAGATAAGTTGCAAGTTGGCTTGCGGAGTACGATAGGTCTGGACGACAAGTAACAGCTGCGAAGAGGCGGCATCCCAGCTTCCTGTGGTAGTTGCGTATGTCGGCGGATTTTAGTGGAGCGGATCCGTCTTTGTTGTTTCCTGCCGTGTAGCGGTATGGCGTAGAGATGGTAGTCGGCGTAAGTGAGAAGCGTTTGGCGATGGTGTCAGCGTACTTTGCAGCGTTGAGGTAGATCGCATTTTCTTCTTCCTGAATGTTTAGGCCGAGATATTGCGTGACGGTAGATGATACTGTGAGCGTGAGGTCTTTCTGTAGCTCCTCTTCGAACCAGGTAGTGACGTTGTCGGTCGACCCGATGTAGAGTAGATCGTCTACGTAGACGATTAATAGGATATAGTCGTCACCTTTCGTGAGCCGGTACATGCCTTGGTCGTGTGGTAGCTGCCGGAATCCGATGCAAGTAAGTCGAGCATGTAGGTATTGCTGCCACAATTTCGGGGCCTGTTTAATAAACAATGACTTCAGTAGCTGGCAGACTTGGTTAGGTTCTCCATGGGAACCGTGTGGGAGTTCAACGAAGATTTCGGCGTCAACAGGTGCGTAGAGAAAAGCATTGGCGACGTCGATTTGCCGCAGTTTCTTTTTCTTCATGGCAGCGATCGCGAGAAGAATTCGTAGCGAGGTGTGTCGGCTGACCGGAGCGAATGTCTCGGTGAAGTCACGTCCATGTTCTTGGTCGAAGCCGCGTACGACCCAGCGTGCCTTGAACTTGTCAATGGTGCCGTCTGCTTTCGTCTTCACGCGGAAGACCCACTTCCTGGTGAGTATTGTTTTGTTTCGTGCCACGCCGATGGGAACAACTTTCCAGGTGTTGCGCTCCTTCAGTGCTTTAAGTTCTTTGTCCATGGCTTGACGCGATTTTTCTTTATGCTCCCCCCCCAGAGCCTGCTGAACTGTGGCAGGCTCCTTAGGAGTTTCCGTGCCGTGGACCGCGGTGACTAGGCCGAGTATCTGGAGGCCACTCTGTGTGTAGCGGGGGAGAGTTGTGTCCGCGGGATAAACTGCTTCGTCGCCTGTTTCTGGGTCAGGTATGAAGTTGGGCGCTATGCGTTCTGCTTCGTTGGTGTTGAATTCTGCAGGTGTAACGTAACCGGTGTCGGCGAAGTCGAAATAAGTTTCGGCGTTGACGCTTTCGCGAGGATTTTCGTCGTCCATCGGGATAGGCACGGAGCAGTATGGGAGTGGTCCTGCTTCTTCCGAGGCGTTATCCACATTCTGCTCGTCCCAGTCAGTTTCGTCTGCTGCCGAGGCGAAGGCTCGATCACCATGGAAGCCACCTGTGGGATCCCGATCTTCTTCCAGGTTGGCAAGGTATGTCGGAAGGGTGAGTCGTTCGTAGAAAATGACATCACGTGCTGCTACTGTTTCTTTGGAGTGGACGTCGAAAATCTTCCACTCGTTGTAATTTCTTTCAATGCCCAGGTGTAGTCCCCACTGTGCGCGTTGGGAAAATCGGCCGGCTCGTGCAGATGGGGGTTGGTACTGTACCATGCAGCCGAAAACTCATAACAATTTTGTGCTGCCCTGTTTTCCTGTCCACAGCAGGTGCGGTGATGCGTTGTTTGGTAGTGATGACGACGAAAGCAAGTTGTGCAGCATAACAGAGTGGTCCTGTGAGAATCGAGAAGGAATGAGAAAGGATGATTGCACTAGAAAGCATTGGGATACATATAGCAAACCCTAACAGGGTTGTACTCACTACAGAGTACCCCACTGCAGACTAGAGAAACATAATATTCTGACACACCCCCATAGTCAAAGTGGGGTATGATCAGCACAACAAGCAAAGCAAAGCAAGCTCAGGGTGGATCACAATGTCACCACACATTCTGAGCACAAGTACAAGAAGTAACAGTTTAAAGTTCACAATAAATAAGTAAAGCTAGAGGCTATCACAGAGGGCAAGTGAGGAGGAGGAGGCTGGACTAATAGGAGAGGAGAGAGGAGGCAACGGCGGAAGCTGCAGACACACGGGCAACAGGAGCGGCGCGCACTGTGGCTACCGGAGGCGCACCTCCGGACTACAGGAGTAACTGGCTCCGCGGCTAAGACGAGCGGCAGGAGCAACGGACCCACGGGCGACTGGCGCAGCGGCATCACTGGGCTACTGGAAGCGCACCTCCGGACTACTGGCACTGCTAGCAACACGACGGCTACCTCCACCCAACCTCCCTCTACTGCCGCACCCCCCATTCACACACCCCCTGCTGCACCCCTAGGTTCGCTCACACTCCACCCCCTAGCACCACTCCGTCGACTCACACACACCCACCCCCCTCAGCGGCAGCTGCAGCAGTGGGAGACAGAGTAGGAGGAGGAGCAGGGGATGCCACACACCCGCCACCCCCATACCCTCCCCCACTGCTGCACCTGCAGCAGGGGATGGAGGAGAAGGGGGGGGGGGGGGGGGGGGGGGGGGGGGGGGGGTGCTGTGCATGGCGCGTGCAGAGGGCAGCAGGGCGCACGGGGCGCACAGGGCAGCAGGGCGCGCGGGGCGCAGCAGGGCTGGCGGGTTGGCCACACCCGCCACCCCCATACCCTCCCCCACTGCTGCACCCGCAGCAGAGAGATGGGGGGGGGGCGGGGGGGGCAGGCAGGTGCTGCAGGTCCCCTCCCCCCACTGCCGCATCCGCTCCAGGGGCCAGGGGCCAGGGGTGGCTGCTGAGGTCCAGGAGCGGCTGCACCAGGGGCGGCTGCTCCAGGGGCGGCTGCTCCAGGGGCGGCTGCACCAGGGGCGGCTGCACCAGGGGCGGATGCTCCAGGGGCTGCTGCACCAGGGGTGGCTGCTCCAGGGGCGGCTGCACCAAGGGCGGCTGCACCAGGGGTGGCTGCTCCAGG